ATTCTAATGTTGCCTGCTGTATAATACAAAGAAAATAACAAATACAAACATTTTAAATGAGCTGTTTCTATGGATGTACTGTGGTTTGATTAGTTTTGAAGCTGTAAGTATAGATTCAACCATAGCTTGATGAGGGTTTAACCATAACTTTATGAAACTTAAGATATACAGCCTTGAAAATATGTTGGTCACACACAGGGCCATCTTAAACAAAATATATTTTAAATTCATGCAAATTCTTATTTAGCTCAGTGGTGTTTACAACATTTTTTAGATTTGTATGAATATTATCTTCAGGGTATTTAAAGTATATCTGTAGCTTAAAATTAAAATAAAAGTGTTGTGTAATTATACGTTTGAACTGTGAAGTCAGAGACAAACAAACCTGGCGTCGTTTCCTGTAGCCGCTCAGTTTCCTCCTCGCCAGCGGGGGCGCTCTAGACTTGCGGGGGGCATTTTCAGTAAACGGTCAGCCATCTGCCGCAGTCAGTCAGCTCCAGCGGGAATGGAAAATGGAGGATTGACCGAAGAAAGACTCGAGGACGTTTCATCGATATTTCTAGCGTGTAGGTGGGTAGAACATGTACATGAAATATAAACTTAGTGTCGCAGTGTTTTGCTCCTTGATTCTTCGTCTGTGTTTTTGTCCTGTTGAGCTTGTCCTACTTCAGCTAACCAACGCAAGGTTGAACATAATGCGACTGACGTTAGCTTCATCGTCTAAGTTGTGTAGACAGGCTCCGTTGTTGCACATCACGTAACACATTAGATAGCAATGTGTTGTATTGAGTGTCTCTTGTGGCGTTGCTTCGAGTAATTGTATGTATTGTTATGTAAACGGCTAATGGCTACATGCATTACATTCTGTTAGCATCTCCATGCTCGTGGGGGCTTTTAGCGTAAGCCAGTCTTGTTAGCTACAAGTGCACGTTTTGCAACCGTCGCTACCTCGTGACAAATCGAAACGATAAACGACGAAATAGAAGATTTCAAACACGCAAATGTTTGCTTAAAGTTAAACGAAGAGCTAGCGAATGTACGCGCTCGATTTTAAATCGAAGTTGTGCGTCTGATTTACGTTTGCCACTGATAGTTAGCTAGCTGCTAAGCGGTGTGATAGCGTGTTAGCTTTGCGGCCATCGTTGATGATATGGACGTAGTTTGTTGTTTGATCCGTGGAATACAGACTGGAAACAAATATGGCTTGTTTCATACACATGTACAGCTCAGTTGTTCGTGCATACGCATGAATCGACGCGTAGTTGTGTTCAGGAATATGGATTTATATATCCTGCGCATCACGGCCGTGTGCAGCCTCCCCGTTTCGGTGTCCAGCAGCAACCGTCAGGTCTCCGTAATGAAAACACAACACCACTGTTAATGTCATCTGCTCGCTTATATTCATCTAATCTCTTTGTCACAATACGCGATCATGTGAAAATAAATAAATAACTTGCACCGGGCCACTCCCACCTTTCCTGGCAACAGTTTTGCTCGATTCACGTGGCACGATGTCGTGACCAGTGGCACACCATTGGAGGAATCAGGTTTAATCTCCTCCAGTCTTTGGATGGACCCCCCCCCACGGTGCAGTGTGCAAGATTGATAAATTAATCAAGAAGATTATAAAGGCAGATATAATTATTGACATTATTCCATACACATGCATGTATTTATTAAATACATCACTATGGTTTGTAAAGTATTTCATCTGCACAGTATGCTCTTTTGTACTTTGAATAATATTGCAAAGTCATTATTGTGTCAAATGAGATATTGTGTTATTTTGTTATATATTATCAAACTTAAATTGAGTGCCTGGAGAACTGGTAAATATTCCAGTTAGTGAACATCTCTTCATTTCTAGAATTGGTATTTTATCATCTTTACAGACTCTCTATTATTGTCAATCTCAGCCTTTCAGTGGAGCGTTGTGCACATTGCCCCTAACTTTTTGTTTTTCTCTCTTTGGCAGATCGTTTAATGTTTACCACGACAAATGATTACTGCTGCAAAGACTTTGTTTGGTTTGAAGAAGCTCTCTGTTACCTATCACAGCTGAACTGCAGGTACAGACACATTGAGTTCTTAAATGAATGAATTGGAACTGGGGAATCTTAAGTGAAATACAGTTTTCTTAATTTGCATTTATTTCACATTAAACACTTTGCCTGACTATCAACCAATTTAGACCCATAAATGAATCTCCACATTGTAATTAGCAAACATTAAATATAATATTAAATATTTGTATGTTTTTATTGCACAATCTGTATATTGTTATGTGATGCTGCCGGTTTTATGACATTGTATTACTAAATTGCACCATTAGCTAACAGACGGTATGCATATGATGTGACTGTACACAGATGTTGCTGCATTCTCTCCTTCTCAGTAAGAAACATGAAATGGTAAACATCCGCCATCATGCTTTTGCTTGTACGCTACTGCTATGATTACAGAATGCGCCTGTGCAATCTACCACACACATTCATACAAACAAAACAATTTCCTGACAGAAGTGTAAACAATTGGCAAGCAATACAATTTGACACTTTCTACTGGGCTGTGTAATGCTTAAGGCCCAAGTGCACAGCTTTATTACATTTTCATTCAGTAAATATCATAATTTAATTAATATCTTAAACATTTCCTTAGACATCAATAATGTCTTTTCAAGTCCATGTAATTTTGAATAGGCGGACACATACAATGTATTATTAGGCTCATTGTTCTCTTGTTTTCACTCTGTGTCAGGAAACTCTAGTCACAGTTTAATGCCCACACAGTACAGACAGCGTAGGCTGTTGCATGTAGGGCTGCACGACATATCGAAAATGTATCGTCGTCACAATATTGGCATGAGATATATATATATATATATATATATATAAATATCTGCTCAAATTGTGATAAATTATGTGCCATGCATTACTGCTCTGCATGTCAATATATTTGGTCACTCATATGGAGCCCTAATGCCCTAGATAAGAAATTAAAGATATTCAGATCATTAACGGGGCTCTCCAGGGTTTTCCTGCATAGAGAATTACGAGGCGCCTCAAATTTCGTGCCACCACCGCTTCCTGACGAAATTCTAGTACACTGGAAAGTGCTACTAATCACATTTGTCAGTTGATCACTATAAAATTGCGTAGGCTCTCTAGCGTTCGCCCTGTCTCTCTGACGTCTCTGACTCGCTACAGTTAAAACGTCACATTATCAGCGCTGATCATCACATTCAGATTGGTACCTTTCTTAAATGAGTCAAATCTTTCTTCAGAGCACGCTTGATACCCGATTCGATTTGCCTTGTGCAGTGCGAATGATAGATACCCAGAGGAGCAGTAAATTACTGTAAAACATAACTTCTTTACATTCCTAACATGTATGAAAAGACCCCAAATGATGGCTGTGAGCGGACTTAGTTGGACTTGGTGGCGCTGTGTCCAGTCTGTGGAGCTGTCTGCGATCCCAGCATCCGTAGCCAGGGGGAATTTAATTAATAAAACCATGTTGTTTGAGTGGATATAATGCATTTCATTTTTTCAGTATCTACATAGACTACTTATTGTGTAGGGGCCAATTTACCAGCAAACCCAAAGCAGAAAGACTAACACTGTATACGTTGTTTATTTATCTCAAGTCATATCGTCACGGCAACATTCAACAACTTTATTGCATATTTCCCTAATATCGTGCAGCCCTAGTTATATATTTAAATTTTTCATACTGATGGCCCTTTACATTTTTCTTAGTTTTCCTCTTGGTATTGCGTCTCCACCTCCTAATGTTGTATTGCTTGTACATTGCACAAATATAACGTGTTAGTGCAACTATTCTGGAGCCAGAATATAACAGACACAATTATTTAAAGACAATCCCTGTACTGGAGAATTACTATAGATCTTGTTACCCTTTCCCCCTCAGTATTTGTCATATTATGAACTGACAAAAATTATTTATAGCTGGTCTTTTGTGCTCTTCTCTTTAACTGTAGACATTGAGTTTGAAAGTAGTGATTGACTCCATCATCTATGGAGGAGAATGTGAGCCCTGAGCTCTCTCTAGCTCCAGTGCCAGAGCAGAGCCAGGACCGCATGGATAGCTGCTCTCAAGGTACCTTGGATGAGCTTCTTTTCCTTCATGAGAAAAGTGTGGGAATGTTTTAACAATACTGGGGACAATGGTGGTATCAGGTTCTATGATCTATGAGTGATTTTAACTTTGGGTGAAAATGTTGGGACGGTAGCGGTCAAAATCCAACTCAATGAATAATTTTCATATTTGTCTTCTTGATCTATATTTTTATGTGATCAAAAAACAATCAGTCATTTCTTGGCAGTGTTGCTATGTCGCACTCTGGTGATTACATGCCATGATTGTTTTCTTCACTGATTTTCTATCTACAGGTATTGGAGAGGAGGATTGTGAACAAAAGGAACAGGCTGAAAGTGAAAATGTGTCCAAAGAGACTCTAGAGGAGACAGATAAATCTTCCAGGGCCAGCAGTGAGATAAAGAAGACTTGGGGTTTCCGTCAGTCCACTGTTGCAAAGAGAGAAATGCCAGTGGAAGCAGCAACTAATCACTCTGAAAACCGCTGTGCTGTAAGGCGTAGTGGTAGGCAGTCGAAGCGGACGGACAAACTCGAGGAATTCCTCTTGACTGCGAAAAGAGGGTCAAGAAAGAGTGCCCCTCCCAGTCTGGAAAGTGGAGATCCCCCTTCCCAAACCCCAACCGATGCAGAGACTGCCTCAGAGGCCAGCTTCGATGGTAATGCTGACACCAAGGCTGCAGACGATAAGGTGGAGTCCCCAGAGAGGAAGACTCGAAGTAGCACAAGGAAGCAAACTCAGAGGCAAACCCGAAGCGGTAGAGTGACCAGAGGAAGTAGTGGAGCCACGGCCAACGATGAGGGCAGCTCTGACAATGATGAGGACAGCGGAGATGCCGCCACGACAGACCAGGTACAGGATAACAGTGAGGAGAAAAAAAATGATTCCTGTCCTGAACACGTAGGGAGTACCACTACTGCAGAGCTTCTCCCAGAGCAGGACTCTGAGAAGAAAGAGTTGGCTGAGGAGATAGACAAACATGAAGAGACAAATGACGAAGAAGAAACGGATGAAGAATCTGATGAAGATAGTGAAGACCAAGCTACAGCAATGGTGGTAAAACGTGGACCAATAAGAACTTATGTCAACAAAAAGAAGGCAGCCAATAAGAACACTTCCCCTGTTAAAGCTCCTGCCAACAAGTGCACCACTCCCATTAAGATCGAAACTAACCCTAAAGCACCACAAGCTGCTGGAAACACTCGCAAACCCCAGACGCAAGAGGACAATGATGAGGAGGACGATGAGAATGACTCTTCGACATCTTCGTCTTCTTCATCCATTGAGTCTGACGAGGGAGGATATGATCCCAATGCACTTTACTGCATCTGTCGCCAGAAACACAACAAAAGGTATTTTTTAGCAGTTGTTTCTTATATATGATTGTTTACAAGATGTTGACGATAATGTGCAACTGTAAGACATCACTTTTAATACAGTTTAACTGCTTTTTGACATTAAGACAGTTTTGTTTTGTCGTGTTTATTCTTAAGGGGTGATCTGTAAGTTATTTTCATTGCTACATTGCTAACGCTTGCATTAACAGCTGTTTACTCACAATTTCAGCAAAAATGTTGCACGTTCTTCCTTTTTCTTCTAATGAAATTGGCATGTGAACCAGCTTTCCCCAGTATGGCCAGCTCATCTTGTCGCTTTACTTTTGTGAGTTACTGTTGCATCCAGTCTGCCTTGAAGAAGTAACAGCATAATAAAACCTCTTGTCTTGTAAACACAACAATATCTGAGGTTCTTGGCAAGTAAGAATCTATCTTTATAGGCCCCGAGCTATTTCCTTGTGAATCTTTGTCTTAGGCTGGAGCAACTACCAGCTGCTACATTTGTTTTAGGTGTGACAATAGTGAGAAACAACTATGGTAACTTCTAATGCAGGTTATATAGAGGCTGCTGTAGCATGTGGTGTGAAAATCTAGCTGCTTGGGGAGGGGGCAAACACCCCCGTGTTACATGTAGTGAATTATTGTGAAAACAAGGAACTAAAGAATTTGGAATTTAAATTAAGAATGAACATTATTGTTACTCATAAAGCAGAAGAAGATAACTGTGACAGGATAACCACATCTCTAAACCATAGATGAAACACATGATGTGGAGACGCATACAGATTATAGATCCTACTGTCGGAAGTCCCAGTGCGCTGTATTTAATGTTTAAAGTAAAATTTGCAGCATCTAACATGACAAACAGTGTCTCTAGAGCAGCAACAGTGATGTTCACAACAACAGCAGAGTCAGTACTAACTCAGTGTGTCACTGGAAAAAAATCGCACATGTTGGTAAAATGATAAATTCCTGAGTGAACTTGAGAGAGAATAAAGAACACATACAAGTTGATGTCAGTCCTCCCTCTGCTGCTGGGATTCCCAGGTGGGTTTACAAATACTCCAGGAGCGAATCAAAATGGTCAATTATACTTATAAATCAGAGGGAGTTAGAAATAAGGCTGTTCTCTAATACAAGTCTGCTGCAAATAAAAGCCTAGGACCATCTGCAGCTGAGGCAAATGAGGGTCCTGGTCCCTTATTGTAGACATGCAGTTTACCTTAAATAAGGAGTTGCTGGTGAAAGCTGGTGTTCATGGAAAGGACAATAGGATCAGTTATATCAGATCTGTAGAGTATTTTTTTCTTTTAAAGATGAGCACAGAACCAAACTTAAGGGTATTCTTGGTGTCATAACCGGTCTTTGTTCTTCTCCTGCCTAATAGTTTTTGCGAGCACTTGTACTTATTTCTCCACACAGTTTGCAACTAAGCCCTCCCAGATAGATTAACAAATAATCAGATGTAACAAGCAATCTGTTGTATCAGGTCTCCTTTAAGTTTGAAATAATGAGAGAAGCCATTAGGTTTGTGTTGAGTATCATGTTCTTGGAAAAGTTGCACTACAAATGTCTTGTCCTCCCTAGATTTATGATCTGCTGTGACCGCTGTGAGGAATGGTTCCATGGAGACTGTGTGGGAATCACGGAGGCTCGCGGGCGCCTGATGGAGAGAAACGGGGAGGACTACATCTGTCCCAACTGCACTGCTAAGAAAAACCAGGTGGTCAGGCCCGCGACGACAGGCCTCTCGACAAATACAGAGGCCGGGAGGCACAAAGCTGATGCTGTGATATTATCTGCAACTGCCGAGAAAGCTACAAGCAAAGCAGACAATGGTCAGGCTGTGTCAACACTTCTGTCCTCCACATCAACTGGACCTGAAGAAAAGCCATCAGAGGATGTGGGCATCAAAGGCAGGATAGAGAAAGCTACTAATCCAACTGGGAAAAAGAAGATAAAGATCTTTCAGCCGGTAGGTCCTTGTTACTGATTTCAACTTAAATGCTTAAATCGTCACTGTCTTCATGAGGAGAGCCATTGAATCATTAGATTCATAAGTTTACATTGACACATGATGTGGATATTAACCATATAATGACAATAGTCTGAATAAGACACTGCCATGTAAGTTACATTTCTGATGACTTTAACCTGAATATGATCACACTTGCACAGCTTTTTCCAACTATGGTGGTAGCGGTGGTGCACACGGAACGCTGCTCTTACACAAAGCAGATTCACAGAATAGTGAATGAAGTTCTGAGTGAGAGACTATAAAGAGCTATGCAATGCAGCAATGAAACAAAACACCAACTCAGAGTTCTTATGTTATTATGAGAAATGTAAAAAAATATTTAGTTCATTATGAAACTGGCAGGACAAGTCAGAAAATGGCCGGCCACCACAGTTCCAGATAATAAATGGGAATCACTGTTGGAATAAGTAACATGAATGGACTATTCTATTAGCAATGTATGTAAACATCATAATAAAAAATGTCTTATTCAGAATAAGGTCAGTAGTCAGAATAAGGACAGTGAGTCTATGCAAATGTTGCCACTGTCTGAGTTGGTGTATGCATTGTTCAATGTGCATGTAAAATGTTGTCCCGACAATTATGCTATTCACTACAGTCACTGCCAGAGGACTGAAATGGGAATTGTATTTATTTGTCTTCCAGTCTGTGAAAAAGAATACATTGCACAATTATTTGAACTGTTGCTGTATTTTGAGTCTATTCAGTAAGGAGATAAGGATGTTTCAATCAAAGTCCATTGGTATCTGCTTTCCTGTTGACATTATCATATAAATCCCTGTGGACAAGCAAATGGTTGAAGGCATAGTTTGAGCACAGAGCACCTAAACACTTCAAACTGAAAGTGTCTTTAATAAGAATGGTGTACATATTTTCAAAAATTACTTTCGCTATCAATTAAAATGTATATTACATCTATAATTCTGGTATTGTAACACCATGCAAAATGACAATATTCGTCATTCGTCATTATATTTTATTGTGCACTGCACTGGAACAGGCCCTACAGCAGACAGCCGTGCCAAAAGCAGACCAGAAGGTGACGCCCATGGTGGAGAAGAAGGCAGGGCCCGCAGCAGAGCAGAAAGCAGTACCTGTCACGGAGCATAAAGTGGCTTCCAACGTGGAGGTGAAAACATCACCAGCAGTGGAGGTGTCAGAGGAGAAGACCGGACAGAAGCCAGAGGAGGAGCCTTCCTCTCCCAAATGTATCGGGCCTGGCTGTGAGAATAACGCCCAGCCAGATTCAGTGTACTGTGGGAATGACTGTATCCTGAGACACGCTGCTGCAGCCATGAAGTCTATCACCGACGTCAAAGAGCCCAACCAGAAGTCACAGCAAAACAAGTCTGCTCCTAAGGTAACTTGGACCATCTGAAGTGATGGTCTTTGGTCTTATTGCAGGAATGTTCACGTTGTGCAGAGTAACCAGTGCAACATCTGTGTCAGGTGTAATGTCAGTAACAACAATAGAAAGCACATTCTTAGATTGTGTGTAACTGCCAAGCAATTCCTTACATAGACAAGGAGATATATTTTTGTTCTCGTGTCTCAACATTTGAATTTCCTGAAGTGCATTTTATTGAATGTTTTTCCTATTCGTGTAACGAGTTACATCCAACATGGGAATGTTGTGTGTGTATCTGGATGACTTGAGTCATAAGATAATTTAGCAAAATTTATACATATATATAAACTACTACATTTTAAATTCTGTTTATTGTGTTAATGCAGAAAATGTTCAAATCCTCCTCTAAGGTTGGTCTTGGCCTTGTCAATTTTTCTTGCTCCAACAGCTTCAGGACGAAATACTAGTATAACATTTAAGCAAAAATATGCTCATGGCAATTGGCAGGTGTTACTCTCTGGTGATAAAATATTTCGATGTTGAAGTGCCTGTTTGAAGAAACAATTTTAGTGGGGAGAGAACCCAAATGTATAGAACCAAACTGACATTTTACCCATGCTCCATTATCAACCAGCTTTGGACGGCATTGGTTTCCCCTTCCAAGGGTCTGAATTAATGAATGCCACTTTTCATTTAAAATTATTATATAGATGCATTGCCATGAATTGTGAAAGTGAATAATTGTCCAGTACACTTGAGATACTGCGTTAAACCTGTTTTATTTATGAAAATTACTTTGAATTCCTCACCTTCACAGCAGATAAGTTATTATCCATTTCTTTTCATGGCCTCCGACTCTCTATTTATAATGTCCTGCATCTTTTTTATTATGTATTAGGAAATACAGTAAGGGTAAACTCTTAGCTATAGACTAAAAAATATCAATAGTATATCTACTGTTCTTGTTTCTGCTTTTCAAATCTCGTATTTGCCGAATATAAACATAATTTTGTCTATGCTTCAAAGAGTCCCTCCATGAGCCATTGGTCCTAGTCTTGTGTTAAATAGTAAATTCTTCATTTTTTTGTTTCAGTGACTGTTTTTAATTCATTGCAAACCATGCATCCTCAATGTACCTTTACAGCATTAAAAAAATCCTATTTTCATTTTATTTTGAAAGCTCTGGTGGGCTGTGAGCTTGAGCTTTCAAAGGATCACAGAGAAAACAGTAATGCACCGGGACATGTTATCTATACATGAATGAATTGTGATCTGGAATCACTTCAAAACTAATGTGGGTTCAGGGAAATGGTCTTCGTAGTGTTTAAACACTTGAAGAATTGCTACTTGTAGAAAGACAGATAATGATAAACTTGCTCTCTAACAGTGTCTGAAATTAAGTTTTTGGCTCACTGGCCCAAACTGGAAAATGTACCTGCCAAGAATCGTTTGGTCCAGAGTGTATGTGTATTTCCACATTTACAGACTTTTAGCTGGTGCTTGTCAGATGCTGCTAGCGTATGTAGAAATGTCATCAAGTTACTTTCCACTTGTTGGGCTATACACAGTGTACAGTGGTTAGAGAAGGCAGACCATAGACTGCAAGTGTCAGTGATGTAACGAGGGGTAGATTGCCCTGGTCTTTAACAGTTTTCACATTGGGAAACAGAGCTCATGTCAAACATTTCTTTATTTTTACATTAATGTTAATCAAACCATGTTCACTGAGTGTTGTTACTAAAATACCTAAATGTTTGTTTCTTCCATTCACACAGAGGAGCGCCTCTGGTGGGAAGAAGACACAGAAGACGACCCGGGACGATTCCGATTCTGATGAAGACTACAGTCCTGATCCAGATGAGGACGATGAAGATGAGCATGCTGAGGAACACCCGCCCCCACCAGCCACTGCATCCTGGTCCAGCGACCATAATTACATTGCAGTAACACCAGAAAAGACTACACCCATATCACCAACAGTGTTAAACAAAAAGTGTATGTATCTCTTTGAAGGTCTAAAGCTGTTGTCGAAACCACATTGTTGTTTTTCCATGATAAATGTGGTTCCTGTCCTGCTAACACAATTTAGATATGATCAGTACATTTGGGGAACAACATGAACTCATCTGTACACTAGAGCATTGACTGCTTTACAAGGTGTTAATCCATGTTAATCCATGTAAAGTTTGTTAATGAAATGTTGGCAGCTGTGGAGAAGGTAAGTGCTACTCGTGGTGTTGTGTAAGTATCTAATAATCCAAAGGACTTTTATTTTGAGAGGGGCACTCTGTAGATAGCTAATATCAAAGTCATAGCAGTGAAATGTTTCAGAATGTGAAACCAGTTATACAGTTTGTTCTGTGGCGCTGCAGGAGCTCTGTGCAGTCTGGAAAACTTAATGTCAGCTGAGGCTCTGAGATGTTAAATTCTTAACAGAAAGCCTGTGCTACAAACTATGGGCATTATTGGAATTGTAGAATCCAGCATTTTTGGATCTTGACCCACTTGACTAAAAGCCAGCATACCTCGACATCTGCTGCACTGATTTTGACTGATTTGAGAGCGAGAGGCTAACACTAAATCCCCAGAGTACCCCTTTTGAAAAGCTTTCAGGTAAATTGCAGGTTTGTGGATGAAAACCTGTGCAGGAACATGTGGAAGAGACAAAAGCAGGGCACTCATCGGAAATTCAGAGCAGTCAGCTGACTGATGCTTTGTGATGTATGGCAGTGGTGAATGGGATAGTGGTTGTGAGTGAGAGTTAAAGTGACCTGCTCTATTTGCCTGTATGAGTCCACTTCCCTTGGTCCGTCACCTCAGCTGTTGGTCCCAAAAAACAGGTCCCTCCCTCCCTCCCTCCGACAGGTAGGTGTTTCAGTATTCCCCCATGTTGAAGTGGACCAATGAAGCTAACGTTAACCTCATATTGAGCTGATTAAATCAGCCGTTAAGCACAACCGTGTGTTTTTTCCTGCCCTAAGTTTGTGGGTAACAAACTGACATTTTTCTACTTTTTGATTCATATTGAATATGGTGCATCCTTTCTCGTGGGAAACTGGCTTTAAAATAAAAGGTGATATAACAGATTTTTGGATGCCTTGATTGATTATGTGAGCACTGTTGGCTTGCTGTAGGATTTCCTGATCAGTTCAGCTCAAAAAATCATATATTACTGATTAAACGACACCCACTGTGGAGATGTGGCCCTCAAGAGTCCCCAGATGGTGAACAACCGCACAAGAACCTCTGCTAGACCGCTGCAGTGACAGAGGAGACCACCCAGGGATAATGCAGTGAAGCCCAGGAAGGCCCCAGAAGATGATGGAGAACAAGGCCAAGCACAGTTTCAGAAGAGCGATCCAACTTAAAAGATTTTCACACACATTTTGCATCAGATGAGAACTGATCAATGTTGATGGGATCATTTGTTGCAATGAAATGTGGACATTTGCAGTTTGCCTCACCTCCATAAGTGGTAATTGAAGGCAGCATTAGTGTATTGATTGCATGGATAATGCATGCTAATGTAATATAAATGCATCCTGTCAGGTCAGGAGACCAGACTGATCACTGACTGTTGCTGAGATAGTTATGGCCTTTTAATTTGCTGAATCATGCCCATATTGTTTCTGATAATTGTTTCTACATATAATCTTCAGAAATTGGTCTCGGTTGCTTTGTGTCTCAGAACTGTTGCTCTGAACAGGAATGTGCTTTATGTATTTGATGTCTAGTGTGTTCAAGTGGGGTTAATGCTGTTGCAGCTTCAATACACAACTGAGACATGACGGACGAAGCAACTAGCAAGTGCAGACTGAAGTCTGAAGAGGCCTTGATAAGTGTGTTGACATCTTGGCGCAAAGTGCTTGATATATTACACTGATCATATGATGTTGATGGTTAGATGAATTCATGCAATTGCATAATATAATTAAATTAATCAAATTAGCAAAACTTGGATTGAGGTGTTTTGGGCTTCAGAGGTCATCCCTTTACCAGCTGCTGAGAGCATTTGTTGATAATACATTTAGATTTAGGTGGGCAATTAATCTTCAACTTATTATTCCCAGTTTACATTTAAATTTTTGTTCATGTTTCGGGGTTGCAGATCATTTCTGCCTTAGTGTACAGTGACATATGAGGGCTGAACTATATCTTAGAAAACTGGTCGATGCTGGTCTCATTCAAGTGAGAAAAGCGTGTTCTTCCTCTAACTCACTGAGTTTAGGATCCATGGGCATTGAGGATCAAGTTGGCTTTTGAGGAGGCAGAAGTGCTCCTCGTCATGTTCCTGTTGGAACAAAAACAGTCTTTCTCTCTCAAATGGTTTTACATAAGCGGCACTATGCCACTGTCACTGCTAGAAATAAAAAGGCACTATTCATGTGGACAGTGTTGTCACACTGATTGCAATGTATGCACATTTTTAACTTTACTAAATTACCAGCTAGAGGAGGTTTTATTAGTTAATTTATTTTCAGTTTTTGTTGTCAAATGGAAAATTGATAAATTGTTCTTATTTTTCACTCAGCATTGCAACCTTTGAATCTAACATATGAAGTGATTATCTGTACTTTTAGTGGTACTGTACTGGCTCACTGCATCCATTTAATCTTCCATATTTTTAAATGTTGGATCTTGTCCTTGATTTTCAGCCCCTCCCGAAGAAGAGATGCAGAGTGAGAAGGCCCAGATAGAGAAGGAACCAGCCGACAGTTCTGAGAAAGCTGCCCCAGCGTCTACAACACCAGTCAAAGCTAACAACAAAAAGTCCCCGACCACTAAAGCAGCCAAGGTTTCCCCAAAAGGAAAGAAGCCGACTCCTAAATCTTCCAGCTCAAAGACCTCCAAGAAACCTGTAACACCCCCAAGTAAAACTGCAGCAAAGTCCAAGAAACCAGCGCTGCCACCCACCCACGCCCCATCAGCCTTCCCTCCAGGTCCGATCCACGTCACAGGAGCACTGAGAGTCGTCAAGTCCAACTTCACCATTCCTAAGAAGCAGCCGCAACTCAAGGACAAAACCTCCCACAGTCAGTCCTCTTCGTCATCAAGAGTCTCATCACCTAAAGTTTCTTCACCTTCCTCCAGCCACTCATCATCGAGACACTCACATCCTCCCTCGTCAGCACCTTCCGTGTCCCCCCTGCCACCTCCACCCAACAACCAGATGAGACAGAACATCCGCCGCTCGCTCACAGACATCTTGTATAAGAGGTGAGTGTCCCATTCACATAAGGTTTGCTGTTTCTAAAACTCTTGAGTAAATCCGTGGTTTAACTCATTAAAGCACATGTTTTGTGTTGCTTTTATCACCAGGGTGAGTGACAGTGATGATCTGAAGATGACTGAGAGTGAGGTGTCAAGGCTGGCTGTTGCGATAGAGAAAGAAATGTTCAACCTCTGCCTGAGCACCGACAGCAAGTACAAGAACAAATACAGGTCCCTCATGTTCAACCTGAAAGATCCCAAAAACAAAGTGAGTCAACACGGTCATGTATGCAGTATATAGTCCAAGTAAAGTACATATTTAGTGTCTGTGTGTGGATGTGATATCTGCAGCTTCTATTGTTTTCCTCATGTTAAAAACCTGTGTGGTGTGTTTGTCATGTAGGGTCTGTTCTACAGAGTGGTGGGTGGCGAGGTTAGTCCCTTCAGATTGGTGAGACTGAGTGCTGAAGAGTTGCTTTCCAAAGAAATCTCTGAGTGGAGGAAACATGACGCTCCTGAGGTAAATGTTATTTCCTTACCTAAAGAACAAGCACAAGTAAGCAACATGCAGAGTTGTGAGGCTCAACATGCTCCATGTTTGGCTTGCAGGACTTAACATCTGTTGTTTTATTTGCCTGTTTAGTGACACATTGTGTATTTTTCTTCTGCTTGCCCAGTCTTCCAGTACGAGAGTCCATTTAGGTCATTCCAGACTGGGCAACAGGCACGACTCTAGCTCTCATAGCCTGGATTTAGAGGATGCCCCACCAACATCCGATGCAGATGTATGTATCGCTGCCGCCACTTCCTCTCGCATGGCTTCCTCTGCAGTAAGTGGTGGTGGGCTTTTCTTTTCTAGCTTCAATACCTTTCACTTTTGCACGAGAAACTGCACAAACTGTGAAATCTGGCTAAGTTACGACAGTAACGGAGATATCAGTTTGTTCCCATTTTTCCAACTGTCCTCCTCAGAGGAATTTCTTTTTCGAAAGCTTCATCTTTCTTAATCTCTTGTTGATGCAAAACCTACTTTCATCTACCTTGCACAAAATACTCTGGTGCACATCTTAGTAATGTAGAATTATGAATATGAAGTGAGAGAAAATCTAATATTTCACCGTGAGCATCTTTTCTGTCCTCAGGATCAAGATGAGCTGGTTTCTGCTCAGTCCTCTGCTAGTGATGGCGGCAGTGGCACCAACATGCTCGACATTTTCAGTAACATGCTCAAAGACACAACTTCAGAGCACAGGACTCATCTGTTTGACCTCAACTGTAAAATATGCACAGGTAAATTAAAGTTTGGCCCTGAAGGGAAAATCCAGCAAATCATTTGTTACAGGGAGGTTATGCTTTATTGCTGTTTCTTTTAATGTTGCCCTCTAGGTCAGAAGATGGAAGATGAGCCAGCATCTAAAAAAGCCAAACTGACTAGACCTTCAAGACAAGAGCTGCATTCATCCAGGTCAGGCGATGCCTCGTCTTTAGGCCAACCACAGGACCCCACGGCCTTCCAGCACCAAGACCCCTCAGTGTACCAACACCCGGGTACTCAATTGTACCAGTCCAACATGGAGGTCCCTGAATCACAGCAGCTTTACCAGGAGGACCTCAGCATGCTGGTACCTCCAGCCCAGGCCCCCCCACCTGTTGTACCCACTGTATCCTCTGTCAGCATCACCCGCAGGGACCCTCGCATGGCCAGGCACAGCTCTGTTGTGACTGTCACCTACACTGCTCCAGAAAAGCCCACCATCAACTTACCAGAACCTCTCCCTGCTCCTGTTATTGCTCCAGTGGAGGTTGTGCCCAAGGCACCACTGCCGATGCCCCCAGCTTCGCCATCCTCAGTGGCTGTCTCCAAACCCTCTAAAGCAAGGTGTATATTTGTTTTAAAGCAATATATTTTGTGTTTAATGGGACAGGGTCACTGTTCTCATCTGAAGCTCTTTATTTGTTCAATGATGATATGTGGCTTCTGACTTTTTTCTAAAAGAAACATGGTTTTGGTTTTACAGTACACATGAGCCTCCTCCTGAAGGTGAAACAGCAATTTTCCTCCATGGACAAGAAAAGATTTGGAAAGGATTCATCAACATGCAGACAGTGGCCAAGTTTGTAACCAAGGCTTACCTGGTCTCAGGATCCTTTGAACACCTGAAGGAGGTTAGTTATATTTGGTAAAAGTTTAAATGTAAGACTTGTTCATCATATCAAACATGTGTTCTTTAGTTAATGAATGGAGTTGTCTTTGGTACATACACACACACACACACACACACACACACACACACACACACACACACACACACACACAAGAAAAAGCATCATCTATAGTTTTGTTAATGTTCTGCAGGACTTGCCAGACACCATTCATATTGGAGGCCGAATATCTCCTCACACGGTGTGGGACTACGTCGGGAAGCTGAAAACTTCTCTCTCTAAGGTTTGTGCAAACTTGTAGAGGAGTGTTCACCATTTTCATTTTTCAGGTCTTTTGTCACATAAATACTGATCTTTCCTCTTTTTAAAATCCTGTGCCCACAGGAGCTGTGTCTGATCCGCTTCCACCCAGCGACAGAGGAAGAGGAGGTGGCATATGTGTCTCTTTTCTCTTACTTTAGCAGCAGGAAACGATTCGGTGTGGTGGCCAAAAACAACCGCCGCATTAAAGACCTCTATCTCATCCCACTGGGCTCAAAGGACCCTTTGCCCTCTAAACTATTACCGTTTGATGGGCCAGGTAAGCAGTTCCAGGGATACACAAACATTTCTCTGTATGTAAATGTTTTGTTTCAATACTGTCTTGTTCATTTATTTGTCTTTGTACATGTGGTGAGTATATTTGTCTGTACATCTTTGCATTTGACTCTGGTTGAAATGAGAGCTTGTTTGATTCCTGGGTTTGTACTGTAGGGGGCACTCACACTTCTTGTTGAGCCTCCCCTGGTAAAAACCTCTGTGCTGTGTATTTGAGTTTGTATCACACATCTCTAATAAAATAAGTTTGCATCGCAGGTTGGTGCCATTTGAGTCCAGTCTCAGCCTGTTGTTTCTTAAGACTTGGCTCAGTCTAAACAAAAGTGAATAAGTGTGTAATCAATAAATTGATTTGAGGTAACTTGTCAGTCACTGTATAATATGCCGCTGTTGATATGGTAACATGCTGCACTGCTGGAATGAAACAAGTTTTTAGACATGTCCTCCTAAGTGAAGAATCAGCACTTGATCTGAAGTTTTTTAAGCCAGATAGCACAACAGGCAACTGTCACAAGACATTTGCAGCTGTGGTAAGTACAAGGTTGTCCAACTCAGAGGGGCTCAAACATCAGTACATCTACTCCTGCACAGAAAAGGAATATTGGATTGTGACTTTTTTCTTTTCTTAGGAACAGACTGCTCATGACCACAAATCAAATTTCAATAGGAAATCATTTATGCTCGTGACTCTGGATATGCCGGAACAATAATATAATCATATATTATCATATAATTTTTGTTCCGAAGGAGGATTTAGTGTTTTTATTTCTGTTTTTATGATCAAATCACTTAACTAACAAACACAGTCCTGATACTTACAAATGTTTCTCTGCAGCTAATGGCCACATGTATTTTTGTAGTTTAAAATAAATGACCTAAATATAAAAATGGGTCCTGTGCCCACTGGGTTATTAGTAGACAAGCTTCCCACCTTTGTCATTTGTTGTGAACGTTCTATTGTTGGACTTGAAAGAACTTTGGTTTTATTCATTATAAAACCTTACGTGCTACATGTTCCTTCTGTTTTTACTGTGGAAAATCTAGAAGCTCTCATTTCACCAGGGTTCTTAATGTCTATTGCTCAAGTGAAAGATTCTCAAACCTCAATCATGTTTCCAAAGCAGTTTTTGTGAAAACAGTTTTTTAAGAGTCTTTGTTTTTTCCATCTTGCAGGGCTTGAACCTGCTCGACCCAACCTCCTCTTGGGGCTGTTGATCTGCCAGAAGGACAGGAAGCGTGCTGGTGCTCCACTGGAAACTGAAGAGAAACGGTCAAAGACTCAAACCAAAGATGACGACACCGCCCTTCCAAAGCCATCTCCCTCAGTCAGAGTAGACAGAAGCACACGGCAGAGTCTGGAGATTCCCTTCAGTGCAACTCCTCCAGGATCACCTCCATTCAGCTCCTCTGAAATGTCTAGCAGCACTGTGACAGCCTCCTCAGTCCTTTCACTCTTGTCCTCTGTCAAAGCTCCCACATCCTCTACTACTGGCAAGGAGTCCCCATCCTCATCCAGCTCTGCTGCTTCCTCTGCAGCAGCTGCCACTCCTCTCCAGACTATCCTCAGTCTCTTGAAGAAGAAGAAGCTTGACTCAGATGCTTCTAACTCTCCGATTGATCAAGTCCAGGAACTCTCCCTTCCACCATCTACTCTGCTAGACCCCATTGTGAAGCAGTTTGCACAGATTTCTAAAGAAAAGCCAGTAGAGGAGGATGAAGATGACCGACCATATGACCCAGAGGAAGAGTATGACCCCAGTAGGGGTTACAGTGTTCCACAGAAGCCTTTTGAGATGGTAAGCAAACCTGAAGTCTCCAAGCAGCCGTTGGTGATTGCGAGTGAACTTGATGATGTGGCATATGACCCAGAGGATGACTCAATATTTGATGAGGTGAAAACTTTAGTACCAAGTCAGACTAAGACTGCAGCTGAAAGTATCACTGATCCACAGAAGATCCTGGAGAGCCTGAAAATGATTGGGAACCAGATATTACAGAAAGAGGGAGATCAGCAAATAATATCCACAGTAACACCTGGTGCCTCAGACACACTCTTAACTCAACCTAGCAAATCCCTTTTGGCCAATAGTCAACTACTGCAGCTTGGCAAAAAGGTGGAGGCCCTTGTAAAGTCTTCATCGGTTGCTCCCTTGATTAACCAGAGGAGAGATCCTCGCCAGATCAGGGATCCTCGCCAGGCTCTGGCCAGCATGAAACCGACTGATGAACCTGAGGAGTCAGAGGAGACATCTGCTGTGTTGGCAGATTCTACACCTCCTTCAGAGCCACAGCTGCCCGATGTTCCTGTTGTCCCAGACTCATCACAAAGTGAAGGGACAATACTGCCTCAAGAGAAAGTGAAAGCTGAGACCCTTCCCTTCATGGGATCAGACAAGGCAGAGGTGTCAATTCCTTTATTAGGAGAGGAGGTGGAACCTGATATGGAGGTCAACTATATGGATGAAAAAGAAGTAAAAAATGAGGAACCTGAGCCAGTCAAGTCAGAAACAGAGATGGACAAGTACAGTATTTGGCCAAACGCTGCCAGTATTTTAAAAGCTGGTGATGACTCCGAGTATGATGAGAATAGCCAGGATACACCAGCTACAAGCTATTATGAAGAGGCAGAAAACACCCCCTCTTTACCTTCAACAATCCCAGTGCTCACTCAGAGCATACCAATGGTTGAGACTCAGTCCCATCACATATCGCATCACATGTCAGCACCTGGCTTCGACAGCAAGTACAGACCTCCAGCTGACATCCCCCCTCCATCCACCTTCCCCCCTCCCCATCAGATACAAGGACAAAACTTGATAATGAGGCCTCCGCCAATGTCTTTGCCTCCACCCATGCAAGGTCTTCCTCCAATGTCCGGGCCCCCTCCCATGCAGGGACCCCTGCCGCCCATCCATGTTCCTCCTCCTGTACGTGCGCCTCCCCCCATGCAGGGTGACAGTCAGCAATATGGCCCACCTCCGGCTGCATACACCCCCTATCAGAACCAGTGGCCACGCACCCAGCCGCAGCAGCAGCCACTTCCTGGACCACCTCCTCAGAATATCCTGCCCCCCAGAGGACCACCACCACCATTCCCTCCAGTTGCCCAAAGAGGCCCTCCTCCTCAAATGTTTGATCCCTCCATTCCCCCTCAACACATTGGACAACAAGGTCCCCCTCCAGGGCTCCGCCCACCTCCTACTTTTGATGGACAAAACAACTTACCTCCACCAAGATTCACAAGTCCGCCACCACCTTTTAATTTCCCTGCAAACAGAGGTCCCCCTCCACCTTTCACAAGTCCACCCCCTGGTCACTTTGATAACAGGCTTCCACCTCAGTCCCACTTCCCAGGGCCTAGGGGAGTGCCGCCATCTCAGTACAGTGACCTCAGGGCTCAACCCCAAACAGTAGACCAACCTCGAGGCCCTGCTGAACAGTATCACAAAGACCCTCCAAACTCTTTCAAGCTAAATGTGGAGCAAAGTCTAAATGCTCACCATATTTTTAAAGATAATCAGGGCCCCCTGCCTGGTCCAGCATACCGGGGACCACCACCCAACCAGTATGAGGATAGAAGAGGTCCACCTCTAACTGGGGAAATGAGCAGACAACCCTTCAGTCAGCGTAACCAGTATGTGAGCTCTGGGCCACACTCCCCACCACCACACCGAGGTTCTTTCGATGACCACAGAGGCCCTCTGCCTCCGGAGAACAGACCACATCCATCTCAGCCTTTTGGAGGATCGGAACGCTACCGCCTCGATAGGCTCTCAGATGAGGCTAGACCTATTCGGCATGGGGGGCCACTGCTACCAACTCCCCCAGAGGCTCCCATAGTTCCTCCAAGTCGCATAGGAGCCCACAGTCCAGACCTGCACAGGGATAACCACTGGCGTCGCCACTCTCCTGAAATTAGGAGGAGGAGCAGCACCACCCAAGAGGACCCAGAACTTCACAGTGGAGATCTCTTTAGTCGCTTTGAAGGAGGGCACAGGGAACCTGTTCCTGGTCCTTTGCAACTCCCTGAAGAGAGACTGAGGGAGCTATCTGAGGATCACCGGAGGGAAAGAGAGCGGGAAGTCCTGCATGCTGGCAGGCCATCATGGGACAGGGGGCAGGGAAAGCGGTGGAGCCGAGAGATGGAGTGGGACAGAAGCAGAGAGAGAGAACGAGATCAGGAGCGAAGCCGAGA